GTAATATAAACAAATAGTGAGATTTCATAAGCTAATCACAATACAATTAGTCAAGTGCAGAGTGCTTTCTTTGTTGTAAAACCAAAACCAAAGTAATCACAACAGTTGGTTACAACAGTTAATAGCAACAGTTAAGTAAGGTTAATCAATTTCCTCCAAGAGTATGCTGTACTCATTGATGCTTGCTTTGCTGGGAAGCTAGGCCTCACCAAATTGAAGCAAATGATGATATACTTAAATAAACTAACTGGTGATTCAGATAAACTACAGAACCCAAGGTGCATACTGAAGCTCAAAAACTTTTACCTTGAACTCTGGAATGTAAATACAAGTGTGCGTGGCGTAGTGTGAAGGTTATGAAATGTTGTGCCACACCCTCTTCATTTGTTGTAGATCACACTGGCAAAGCTTCTCTACATTTGAAAAAAGACTGTTGAAGTTTTAATGAAATGAGTCTGAATTGACCAAGCTGCAGTGCATAATCCTCAAGCAGCTTTACCATAATAACAGCCAAGGAAATGGCCTTAATTTCCAACAAGCTGGTGATTTCTTGGAGACCTCCTTGCCCTACCATGATGTTGAACTTGTATGAATATTACTTCTGAAGTGGCTGATATATGACAATGATGATGATGATGAGGAGGAATGTGCATGATGCCTAATGACCCCTTGGAGGTGTAACCAGACATTATTAATTGAAATGAAATATAAAACTACATTAAATATGTGCTAGCAAAAAGTAGCCAAAGCTCATAGGTAACATTTGATCTGTTTATGTAGGATGGTGACTTTACAGCAAAGTGGAACCCAAAATGGATAAGGAAGTTTGAAGACATGAAGGAAAACCTGAAGTCAAGAAAAGCACAAGTTTGTGATAGTCGTGGACCAAATTTGTTCAATCGTTCAGCCAGTGGTAAAGAACAATCTACAGTAGATATGTTGAAGTGATGAAATAGTCTATACTGACTTTTTGAATCTTAGGGTTTACTACTTTCAGAACTTTTCAAATTAGCCTTTGTATCTATAAACTAATTGCAAATCAAAATAATCTTTCAGGAATACTACAGAATGGAACTTTAAACCTTTAACCCCTAAGAGTGACCAGCATCTAATTTCTCCTAACAATATCACCCCCAAATGATTACACATAAAGGTGACAAGAAAAAAGGAAACTATCACCTATAATAGAGGCTCTTGATTGTTAAACAAATTCTCCTCATCAGCACTGTGGGAAATGTATTGAGAACAGAGGGGAGAATATTTCAACTGATGTTAGGGTGTAAAGGGTTACCCTACATTATGTTTGAAATATGATTTATCATTTCCACTTCTTACTGTCTTATGTCATTACTTACACCAGCTTTTTTTTCTCTAAGTAACATCTTTACTATCAATATTATCACCAATGTATGTTTGTATGAGAGATAGGCTCTGAACTTTGGTTTAATTGTTGTTGAAAAAACTGTATATTGTGCATTACATTAATTAAAATTAGTTTAATTTTCAAATCACTTTCTCTCCTACATGTAGATCCAAGCACAGTCCACTATCCTGGCGCAGTAAATATTCCATTTCCAAACTTGTTTAATGCTGAAACCAAGACTCTAAAAAGTGTTGATGAGTTAAAGAAAGGTGATAAGTTACCCTTAAAATGAGTAAAACAGATGAAATTCAGTTTTGAAATGCTTGATCTGTCTTATTTTAAAGTAATATTTAATAGATTATCAATTCTGTACACATTTTAAAGATATATATAGCCATCATAAATTATTTACTTCTATCAAGAAAATAAATAACCTTGTGTGATATCTTAGTTTACAATTTGGTAATACAAAACAACTTGATTGACATGTGTGAATAAATTGTATTGCCTTTCAGTTTACTCTGATGCGGGAATTGATCTCAGCAAACCAATCATAGGCATGTGCATTGGTGGCATGTCTTCTTGTTCTTTGGTTCTCACTGCACATCTCTGCGGATGTCCTGATGTTGCACTTTATCATGTAAAATTGATATTTTTAATGTTTTATTTGATATTATGACATTATTAGATTCAGTATATCTTCCAAATAGTGGTAGTGATGCTAGTGGCTTTTAAATGCTGTGTCGTATAATATTCTCCTCTCTATAGGAGGTTGACAAATTCTTCAACCATTTAATTTTTTGTTTGTTTGTTTTTCTTCTTCACAGGGAGGTTTCAATGAGTGGAGACAAAGAGCTGATGCAACTGAAATTGAATGATTATCATTGTTGCAAGAAGCAATGATCAGCTGAAGCATGATTGTCATAAGCATAATATAATGATTAGAGTACTGCTGCTGTTATTCCCATTGTTTAAAATTAATGGCTGTGTCCTTTCAGTGGACCTAACCTTGCACAATAAAAAGCAAACCATTAATAAATCGTCTTTTTGAAGTTATTTCAAGCCTCTTTAAACTCTTTGAATTTTTTTGACAAACCCCAGCGTGTTAACTCTTTAATCTGGGAATAGAATGCCCTTAACACCTCCTACTTCCATACCCCCCTGAACAACAAGGGTGCCATTGTACGGGGGACTGCCAAAGAGAGGAGTCTGGGAGAAAGGTTGACAAAATAACTTATTTTTAACGTGAAGCAGGGACGTGGCGTGAAGACGTAAAACGGAGCCGACGAGATCACTACTGATTTCACATAAGAGTATACCACCTCTCCCCGCCATCACAACCTCCTGAGTTCTCTTTAATTTCTCCGATGCGGTATGTTATGAATCCGATGTGCGTGACTGCTTCGAATACCACGAATACGAAAGGTTTTTTTTAGGTAATTTAAATACTTATACTCTCAGTTCTTATTTTTTTTTCAAAACTCTAAGACTTACCTTTCACGTTTTTTTGAGAAAGCGGTGTGACATGACTTTGATTCCTTAGCAAAAACGGATCCGAAACTATCTCTTTCTCGGAAGACACTCGTGAAGTAGTAGCTTTCAGAGCTATCACTTTAGTACGAAAAAGTATGATGATCCATTATTTGCAACAACGTGAGGGCTAAACTAAGCGAAGAGTTCTAGTACCACAACTCATTCGCAATTCAGCATGTGAAATCATTTGCTATCGTATTTTACAAACTTCTCTACTAAGCTATGATGCGAACCGGGCTGGATACTCCCCCATCTCTGTCTCGGAAGACACTCATAGAGTAGTAGCTTTCAGAGCTATCAGTATAGTACGAAAAAGAGTGATGATCCATTATTTGCAACAACGTGAGGGCTAAACTAAGCGAAGAGTTCTTGTACCACAAATCATTCGCAATTCAGTGTGTGAAATCATTTGCTGTCGTATTTTACAAACTTCTCTATTAAGCTATGATACTAACCGGGCTGGATACTTCCCCTACTTACCGTTTAAACCAATGCCATCCAAAAGAGACCTTTAAAAAGGGTGGTGCTTAAAGAATGTTATATACATTTTTTTATTTTTTTACTATGTTTAAAAAAAAGAAAGACCAGAAGAGAAAAATTCTTGGCAGCGGTGGGATTCGAACCCACGCCTCCGAAGAGACTGGTGCCTTAAACCAGCGCCTTAGACCACTCGGCCACGCTACCGAGATAGACATTCTGAGATGAAAATTAACTAATTAAATGAAAAGCAATCAATCACCTATACCCATATTAAAATTTTCCAGCAATTTCTCATAAAAACGTGCGTGCAACGACCATTTTCCCACTCAAAGGTGTTTTCATGTAAGGTGACAAGAGACGTAGAACTCATCATTCATAAAAACAGTTCTGAGTGACCAGAAATCTGGTGTAGGACATGTTCAATTAAAATTGTTGTGAATGAGCAAAGATTCTCCAATTCCTGAAACAAATATGGCACATGCATCCAACTAATTTTAAAAGGCTTTGAGGTTTTTGGGGTAAAAAAAATTCAAAGCTGTTTGAGTTTGGCTGAGTCCTGAACCCAGACAAAGAAATTTAGACTAGGCCAGGACTTAATCTGATAGCCAACACAGAACCAGAATTTGATGCAAACAGCTAGTACATGTATACTTCCCTCAAAAATTTTAATTCATCGTATGGGGTCAATTGAGTGTGAGAAAAATATGTTGAATTAAAAGTATCATGAACTTGTAAAAGTGTCTTCTTTATTTGCTTGCAAGTGCATATTGATCAGGTGCAAAAGGAAGGAAAAACCCTCTTGATTATTGTGAGAAACAGTTTTATTCTACTAAAATACAAGGGAAAATCTTGTGAGAAACATTTTTATTCTACTAAAATACAAGGGAAAATCTTGTGACGGATGTTAGGATGTAAAGGGTTAAGAGCATTTGTTTTCAGTTAAGGTCCAATTCCCTGTCCTTCACCACAACCCAAGTCCTAAGAAAATGAAGGCTATAGTGACTTTTTTATGGAACTCTGATAACCAGATAAATATTTGCCATTATAGTTATATTTTGACTTGTAAAAAAGTGATAAGATAGTAAAATATGGCTGACCTGACTTGAATAACTGAAAGGATTTTGGACAGGGATTTTGCAAAATATATTGCCATATCTGATGTTATTATTTTTAAAACTCCAAATGCATTGCAGTGTAGGCTTCTCTCATTGTTTTCAAAATTCAAAGATTTTTCATAACAATCATAAGACTTAATGGACACACAATGGACAGTGCAGCAGCAAGTGCTATGTACCAGTACATCAAGAACACTTGTATTATATGAGGGAAAATAGCTTAATAACGTTTTAAAAGTACACTTGCATTTCAATTATTTGCAAAGATCTAGCTGGCACTGGAAAACAAGCATTGCTCCACACAAATGATTTTTTCCTCATCAGGGGATACATAGGCTCAATTTCCGACCATTTTGGTAATACCAGTGCCCCAAACATGCATCTGGGACTCACATCACACCATTATTAAGAAACTCTACAGATAATTTATTATTTTCATTCTAACATTGCAAAGGTCCTAATTTCCTAAGATTTTTCAACACCCTTAAGAACCAAACTGCCGGTACATACCAGCTGTAAAGCTACAATACACATCTGTTGTCTGTGGATTCACATTTCCTTGTATCATTTACGAGTTCTTTGAAGGGACCTTCATGGTAACCTACACAGGAAAAGAGCAATAAGTAAACATAATAAAATGAAATTTTTTATGTTTTCCTATCTCTCATACAGTAAAAAAAGAAAAATATCTCTGAGTCACCAGCCTCTGTTGCGTGACTCACAATCAGAAAAATCAGATTATATAATCAAAAGGTTTATTGGAAAAAAAAAGCAACCAATACTTACTGTTTTCACTTCCAAGAAGGGTAAGAGACCATATTCACCCCTGAAAAAGAAACACATGCACAGACAGGTCACTGTGGAGCAATGTTATTAAATGAATGGTTACATGGAGAGGAGCCTTTTACAACAACTTCAGATTGACTGCTAGATTCTCCTTACTTGTGCTTTTTTTTTTGG